CATTTAAAGGAGAAGAGGTCAGCAATGACATCCTACATGTCCCCCAAATACACGATTCCTTTAAATGAGATGAATTTTAATTAAAACAAATATATTCAATTAAACAAAATGATGTACATCATTAAAGTACTAACAAGTCACAGACTATTCAAAACACATTTCTTTTCACATTGCTTTTGCTTCTAGATCATTCTACTATACCACTAGTACCAAACACCGACCACCAGACAGCACTCCGATTTTCTATCCAATGGCTTCTGACATATTTTAATACTATAATGTACAATGCAATATCAAAATATTGTGAGGGTGCCAGACTGATTCTTGTTATTGTTGTGTCCTCCAGGAGCAGATCTAACAGATTGTCAGTTTTAGGTCTTTTCTGGTTGGTAATGACTTTGAATGGGATCGCTGCACATAAATAATCCATAGGTGGAGGGGTTCAGGTGTATCTGAGCTCAGCAGGTTGGATGGGTCCTGAGCTGCATCTCCCTCATGTAGTCGTAACATAGGCTAAACATTTCATTTTCTTTCTGCATTTTCTATTTCCTGAAACAAACAAAATGTCAAATTATCATTCAGAGCTTGTTCTCTCACATTGCATTAGATTGTACTGCACTGCTGGGCAGGACTGGGGATCTTGTCCAATACCTCACTGCAATGTTCCACAAAAAACAACCACCACTCAATATGCTAGATGTACAATGTCAGGGTAGAGTTTCAGTAGTAGACCATCACCTTATATGTAAGGAAAACGGAAATCAATGTGCTGCTAATAAGATGATTGTCAGCAATTTTTAAAATCTCTTCGGCCTTGTTCACACAGCCTTTAGTATGTACAAGAGTAGTGTGCAGAGCGAGCCTTCAGCAGATTTCTTGAGGTCTTTAAAGAACTATTCAGTTCCAGTTTGGGAATGTTAAACACAGATCCTAATGGAAGTGCCGACTGTCACTTTTAAGGACCTGTGTTGATGGGCTTTTGCTTGCGTCAAACAGGTTTTGCATTCCTATTCAAGTCTATGGGAAAGCAAAATCAGATTGCACCAGGCCAAATGCAGATCAGAAAGAGGTTAGCTCTATTAAAATGCATCTGTCAATGAATTCTGAATGATTTCCGTAGCATCTCAAACTGATGCCATAGACATAAGCCCAAAGCCCATCAACACAACAGGCCTTAAACAAGCTACTAGCAGGCTTTCAACAAGTTTCAAGTAGTGTTGAAGCTTATTGAAGTCCCCTAACAGCTTGTTTAATGTGACAGCACTTGAATTAAAATATGTGTTTAAAATTCCCAAACTGGAATTGAGCAGCATTTTAACCACTTAAGTCCCAGGTGCCTCTTGTCTGTCCCAGCGCCATTTTAAAACAGCGCCCAGACCCAGCATCACAGCCAGCAATAAATCTCTATTAGAAGTGATGTACTTCTGCGAGGGGGGGGGGGGGGGGTTGGCTGAGGCGGCTCAC